ATATGAGACAAACTTTAGCAGAGATCACTGTATTTATGCGCACTTCATATACATTTAAGGTATGAAATACGCTGCAATTGGTATTAAAAAACGACAAATATAAATAAGTATATTAACAATAATAATATCAATTATTTTTATATTAAAATTATTACACAAAATATAATAAAAATAAAATATTTTAACTACAGATACTACAACGACTAATAATAATAATTATTATTATAATTATTAAATACGCTACTGTGCAAAAGTCTTGCAATAAATTGTAATAATCCAATTTAAGATCTAAATTATGAGATTTTTGTATGCACAAGGAGTCTGACAGCAGCCAGTGCTGCGATCTCACCATCATCCAGTCCATCTGGGATTACATGAAGAAACAGAAAAAACTCAGACTAAATCCAGAAGAACTGTCGACGTCTCCAAGACACTTCAGGAAACCTTCCTGCAAAGCTACCTGAAGAACTATATGCAAGTAAACCTAGGACAAACGCTAAAAAAAATATAATAACAACAAATATTATGGTAAGGAGAATTTGAGAGGTAAATGTGTTTTTTTTTTATTATTATTATGAAAAATGTCTAAATGCAAAAATTGTTTATGTATATATAAATTTAATTATCTATAATTAAAAATATATATCTCAGCATCATCCAGTCTGTCTGGGATCACATGAAGAAACTGAGACAGATTAAATCCAGAAGAACTGTGGCAACGTCTCCAAGACACCTGAAGAAAGCTTCCTGCAAAGCTCCCTGAAAAACGACGCACAAGTTCACAGTGGACAAAATCGGTTTTAAACGCAAAGGGTGCTCACACCGAATGTTGATTTGATTTAGTTAATAGAAGTTAATTGATTAATAAAATCTATTTATGACATTATTTTTGAACGCATTATTTTTTAAATCTCTGTGTGGAGCACTGGCTGTTGTCAGACTCCTTGTGCATTTAAAAATCTAATATATATATATTTTTTTTAATTAATATTAATGGCCTAAGACTTTTGCACAGTAGTGCATAATAAAATATATATAT